AAGGAAGATAATAAATCCGTGCCACAATGAAATTGCAAATCATATAGACCATTGAGGATTAAGCTATATTTCATGAGCTCTAAGACCATCGATCATGATCTGTGTTTTATAAAAAAATATTTACACGTCTTCTGTCTTCCATCCGATTTGTTTTCGTTGGCGGCCATACCACAAGCGCAGGTAGACATTCTGCCACTCTTCTGGGTATTGTGCGTTTTGTTTCCACCGTTGTCCAGCCAACTTCGCCATTGTCTCGTTTAAGCCTGTTGATTGACGACTGAGTGTACGTCTGTTGACGAAAGGGGTCCCGTTCGTCATTTGGGTTGTAGGAGCAGTTACCACATCTTAAATCGTGGCTCGACAACGAACCATTATCTTTGGAACATGACTCGAAGGAGCACCTTGCAGATTCTTCTTCCTATTGCCCTTTGCGCTGCTGCTAACTTTTTTTCCACCCTGGTGATAGATCAGCACTTCGTGCCATAAATCATAGCGGCTAGGACGGCAAAGTCGAAAAGTTTGTTATTCGACAACATCTATCAGCAGCGACAATTTACCGTGATTGAAACCTGCCCATGGCCCTTTCCTTCTTCTGCACCCACTTCGCCTTTGAGATGTTCATCTCCACAAGGGTGACGCGTGACTCCTTCTGAGACTGCACAATCTATGTTCGGAGCTCCGTCAGGTCTTTGGCGAAAGTTCTTCATGGACAAAAGCAGTTCCTCATCCAGCAGTGATGTTTTGATGTGATTGAAACAAGTCAATACCGCCTTGCCTACCTACCTTCCTTTGCTGATGTTGCCGATGCATAATTAGCTAGCAACATTTTCCGGTTGTTCTCCCTCAGTGAAGATGGCACCCTGCGCATCCATTTTGTCTTGGAGATATAAACCCCTGATTCTTTCTGTAACTGAGCAATGCCTGTTTGGAGTTGCGTCGGGTTTCTGGCAAGGACCGTGACCTCGACTGCAAAGAGCAAATGGACGAATTGTTGTTACGGCTACAGTCCCATATCGCACAGTTAAAGAAGGACTCCATGTCTGTGGCGAAAGGCTTATGAGTGATGGGGTCTTTTTGGCTTACTCCTCTTTTGATGTTGATTCGGCATTGATCCTCAAACAGCATGATATCGCTTGCAATGTCTGTATTCAGTTCATACGGTAGTCGGTAAGCACAGTTGATACCTCAGTTAGGCAAAACGTTCAGTACAGGGTTCAGCTTAATAGAATTGAATGTTTTTCTGAAGTCGATCATTGCATGTCAGAAAGAATTGGTATTCGTCTCAGGTCTCTGTTGAGTATTTCACGACGCTGATGTGCCCAATGTTCGAGAAACGTGCTCGCAAATCGGTTTTTTCTTTTATTGAAATACAATTCTAGGTCATTCCGGATACCATCGAGGACGGTTGGCTGAAGACCTCTCCTGTAACAGGAGAGTGATGAGTCGATGGCTCCGCAGGTCTTCAACAACAGCTTTTCTGAATAGAAAAATTGTCGTACGCTTCTGGCATTTTCTCCAGCCTGATGTACTCTGCATAACGTTCGGCAAGGGCATTGAAGAAAGTCATTCCTCCTGATTTGAGATGTTCCGGTTTTATGGTTTCCATGCCTTGATATCTAAAACTTTTGATATTTGTCACTGCCTCCCAGGTGAACGATGGGAATGGTTTAAGGGGGGACGTGCAGTACCTTCTACTTTATTCTTATCTTTGAAAAATAAAGGTTGTTGTAGAACATTTCAGATCGTTTTCACGTGACATCGAGCTGTGGTTCTTGTTCCATATCTTCTTTTAACGCTATCAGAACTTAGCAAAATGCTATTTTTCACCGCTTTCAGGTAATTTCGGCCTCTCTTAGTTTCGTTTTCTTGTACTCTCAAATTTTTTCATTTTTTCTACATCGCAGTGTACCAATCGTCCAGTTGCCCATCAACATTCATTCTGGTTCTTCTGACTACCAGTTACCTCATTGCAAGACTGATGCTTTGCTTCCTCGTCGACATCGCCGCAGAACTGAATGGGATGGTAGCTCTGACAATATCGATGAGGTGCTGGTAGTCTTGACTGATCCATCTGCTGATGTCTATTGCGATGTGTGGGTGAGGAAACTTCAGCATCGAATATTCGCCCAAAAGACGGTATCCTTTGAGCCCTTCTAACCTGATCCCTTTCATGATATCGACCGTAACTGTGGTGCGGAGTAGTCTTCGGTCTGATCCCGTATGGACAATACTTTCCAAATGACAGGCGCATATGCTATTACTGGGCAATTGTCTGCCAGACCATAGTCGATTTTGATCAAGGGTCTTTCTTTTAGGGCTTCTCTACGTCCAATGCAGCTTTAAGGCTTATTTGAACACAGTGTTCATGATATGGACTTGTTTACTTTCGGCAAGCTCTACCGGGCAGATGTGAGTCCGATTTGTTCTGCTCTTTCAAATCAGACAATGAGACGCTCTGCCGTGGTTGTTTTCTTCCTCTTTTCTGCTATGGGTTTGAAAACTCTTTGGAGGATTATGTACATGGACGTCTTGACTTGACTTTCCAGTCCCTCGTAGAATTGTTCCACTTCTTCATTGTTTATTTGCTATGTTGGGCTCTAAACTTCTATTATCTTTATGACCTCTTGTTTTTACTCACAGAATCAGTACTGCGACGCGCGCGGTAATTTGAAGTTGCAACAGACTAGGAGCTGCACCCCGTTCTGTGCGATGAATTCTACACGAAATGTCAGAGCTCGCTTTCCTAAGGAATATTTGATCACAGTTATTGTATTGTCCGATATGCTTAGCAAATGTTCAGGTTTCGCACATTCCGAAAACAGCTGCATCGATCTTCTTCGCCTCTCGCCTGTGTGACGACACAGTTCTGGTGTTATGGCTACCTGTGAGGATGATATTCTTTTGCCGTTTATCAGTCCAACTTCACCATCGCTGGGTCATAAATAAATCCAGCTTTTGGCAAGCTATCTCGTTTGCCGGCATTTGTGGCCCTAGTTTCTTCCGTTCGTCAAGTAGTTTTGGCGAGTTTCGTGGGTAGTTTAAGCAGCCCATCGAGTTCCAGAAAGGAATCACTTGATGAGCTCTTAGTGAATGTAAGTTTCATTTAGCAGTGTCGATCCGAACCGTCTCTTCCGACCGGAAAATGTTCTATGGGCATAACGAACCGACTCATCATTTAAACTATCCAAACCGGTAAACGGAGCGAGGCTACGTGCACGAATGATGATAACAAAAAACATCATGGCATGCGAATCTAGAAATTTTTTTATCATCTAGCTCACTGATGCAGGCTAGTGGCTTTGGGATGATAATCTCCTTTATACGATGGCATGAGGCACTCATTCATTATGCTCCTTGATCTCCATTCTTATATTATCCGCCAGTAATGTTTTATTTTTTGAACTAATATATAAACTTATGCGGATATTACATCGTATGAATTTTTTTTGCTTTTCAGACAGTAAGAAATGAAGGATAAAATGCGAGCAACCTGTTGGAACTCGAATCCGCAGTACTTTGTCTGCATGTTCAGTGTAATGCCAGGAGAATTATTGTTTTCATATCTGATCATGTTCTGTAGCCATTGCTGTAACTTTTGGCGGACAAAATAACTCATTAAAATTTCAAGCTTTAAACCAATCTATTCAAAGCGTATTTCTGAAACTGCACAATTACGTCTTTTATAAGTGTACCTGCGAATCGGTAAAACGACATTTCTTACTGTATATTGCTGGCAATTTCAAAGTAAGGAAACTGTTGAAGTATAATGGGTTAAAAACGGCGATCCGTATCATCTCGAAATGGTCCCGCTACTGTTTAAAATTTACAGATGGCTGAAATTTGCTAAAAGACCATTAAAGCTGCTGCCCACTTCCCTCCATTTGATTCACACTTTTTCAACCGGTTGTATAATTCACAGTCGATTTTCGCGTTGCCTTGAAGAATGAAATAAAAATAACTGTATTCTTGGGCTTGAGGCAGCACACAGCTACTTTCACTGATTCGTTGGTTTTGTCTCTGCTCTGTTTTGTGAAATGGTCCGCTATGTATTTCGTTTTGTCTTTGTTGGGCTGAAGGCTGTTTTCTCAAGGGCTCTTTATGCCTTGGTTTTTATTCCTGTTCTTTCACTTTTCAGCATTAAATTGTTAATCAGTTTGTCTGTCTTCCTCGAGAATAGAAATGGACTCAGTGCCGAACCTCAGTGAATCTGTCTCCTTGCAAAATTTCAATTTCGCTGCATCTACTTCATATTATCGCGGTCACTCGATCAAACATTTTTTGCAAGCCTAAAATCTTTCTCTGGGGTAAGATTCCTTCTGATTAACTCTGAATTGTGTGCTCTGGTATAGTGAAAAGCTTTCCCCAAGTCTAGGAATGCCACGTGAATATTCTTGCTGCTTTTTATGTATGTATCGAGGACTGATGATGAAGAAAGATGGCGTCCATGGCTGACCGGTCAGGTTCCTTCTTTACTCTTGTGTTCTGCACTCTTTCGTGTAGCGTCAGGAGCGACCTAGCGATTTACTTCGCAGAGTGCTCCTATATAAAAAAAGAAGAGGAGAAATGGTAGCGTGTTTCTGGTATAGCTTTGCTAGCATACGTGTTTTTTTCATGGCATTATACGTGTGCACTATACTGAACAAATTTTACAGACGTAAAAAATTTTAATGAAAATGCAGAAGTTGGAACAAATCAGTCTGAAAACAATTTGAGTTGCGACAGTTGTAGTATTTATTCACGGCTACACGAAAACGATACAAATTTGTGCAATATCTGGCTGTAACACTGTCACAGAACATGCAAACCATTGTTGGTTCCAAGGTGGTCTTTCTCCACATGGATAACGATTTCAACTTCCGAAACTCAGGCTGTTTCAGAACATAAAGAAATTGATCGGAAGTTATTGAGATTGGGCAATAAAGTTGATTTCTCTTTCCACTGGAGGGCTTGACGGCCTAATGAGTCGAATCAACGTCGAATATCAAGACTCCACGGCTTTCTCAAGAACTCTGCTCGACAATGGCGGCTGTAGGGGTTCCATTTTCCGGTGACTTGATGTCTTCGATGCACGGATAGACGGGTGTGAAGCTGCTGCTGCCGTAATGCATGCACTCATTACTATCGGTGATGTCGTTGCCCCCCAAAACACTTGGCTTGTAGACCAATTGTTTGCCGCGGAACTGCCCCAGCTTTATGTGTGACCGGAAACCACCGCCTCCTTTTGCGCCGTTTCTCATGATCGACACTCTTTCGATGTCGTGAAGCTTAGGACGGGTGAAAATTCGCTTCTTGGGACGTTCCTCAGCCACCCTCATATCCCTGTCCAGAACGACGACAACAATTGGGGCCGCGATTGATATGATCTGGTCAATCTCGTAGCATAGCTGATAGCCGATGTCGATGATCTTGCACTTGAACAGCGGCGTCATTGACGGAATCACAATTCGTTCTTCCTGCCAGTCGTCCTCCCCTGAACTACTCTTTATCGGCACCGACAGTGCGGTTACTTCCTTCATGCTGTCTTTGTAGTGGTCGTTTCCGCTGAAATCCTTCGCCTTGTACCGAGTTCGCTGGCGAATGACCAGGCGTGACGAGTGCAACGACCTCTTGCTCTTGTTCTCGAGGCGGACATTAACCACGACCGTGTCCCCCAACACGTGCATGGTTTCGGCTACCTTCAGATGAGCGGTCGCCACGCTGTTTCGCAAGAAGCAAAAGGTGAGCTTCGAATTAGATTCTGACAGCAAAACCTGCTTCAGTAAATTCTCGCAGTAGTCGACCTTCTGTAGCCCGATTACCGTAAATGCGCTCTTGCAAACTATGTCAAAATCCCATGGTCGTTCTAACGTTGCCTTGCACGTATATCTGAAATTCAGAAATTCAGGGTTCATTTTAAATATGGTCTATATATGCAAAACAGTTCTGAATTATTCAGGTTACATTCCTGCAGCGAAAATTAATAAAGAAGCTATATTACAGATTAAAGTTCAATGTCAACAGGAAAAGATTAACAGACTTCGAAGTCACATTTATTACCTTTAGCGGTAAATTATTATGCAAGCAAAGCTACATTGCAAATGCAATGGTTTCATGGTATTTGAACCTCAACGATGCATTAAGCGTACAGTGTGGTTAGCTAGAGCAATAACATGCTTGTGTTTCAACAGCTTTTTTGCTTATAAACTTTCGAATAATCGATTCTCGAGGAGCGTCTTAGTAGCTATACTCTGGCGTGGTAAATCATATTCTGATATTTATCGAAAGTATATAGTGATAAGGAAATCTAAAAAATCATAGTTAATATTTTATGCTTGTTTGAACCGTTTGGTGCATCAACCTGAAGTGATTCATCACGCCAAATCCGTTTCTAATTCTTGCTTGCTGACTGCGTCGTTCGGAATGTACTGTTGTCTAAACTCTGTCCATCAGTACCTTCTTGAAGATCGTGCGGATGACTGGTAAGAAAACTTGCATGGCATATGCCAAATGTCTCATAATCTTCTTTAATGAGGTTTGTAGTACGGTGTTGGCCTCCTTTTAAATTTAATTGGGTAGAAGTGCATTATTTCTGAAGTAACATCCATAACCATGCGTAGCAACTGTTACTTGCAGTTTTCAAATTTCTTTCTCTAGCTAAGGATATACTCGTCATTTTAGTTCAGAAAAGTAAAAGACGATTAAATCAGCTGCGAGCCAAGCAGTGTCCTTCGAGGAGCTCAGTTAATGACGAAAATGGAAATTACCGTTCAGAAAACTGACAGTTGTTACTGCCTAAGAAAAACTCCCTCTGCTTGCCTATAAACACGCCTGAATGTTGAATGCCCTTTATTACGTGCACAAAAGATGATTCTTGAGAATCAAATTAGTAAACAGCCTAAATATGGTTGCTCAATGATAAACCCTTCCTCCTTGTTAGGAAGGGAGAGCTGTAAAGCAATTACATAATAGCGCAGCCGGCAAAGCCACGGCAGAGTATATTCGCCGGGAAATAACTCATCATTATCAGCCATTTTGATTCACCACTGCATGAATGTCCAAAAGAGTGCTATCAGTCCGGAGGTTTTCCTACGGCCAGCTTACTGTCTCCTGGAATCCAGCCAAGTATTTCTCTGGTCCATAAATGGTCTGTTTAACGCGTCATGATCATTGCCACTTCAATTTTTTCATTGAGGTAATGATATCGCAGACTATATCTCTGATTGATTCGCCTTTTTAGCTTTTCCTGTCATTTGCAACATACATGCTTGCATGCTGCGTTATGTACTCTGCAGTTTATGAGTAACTTTCAGGCTTACGATCCACGTTTCACACCCATCGGTCAGCGTTGGGAGCACAAACTGACCGAAAATGTTTCGTTTCAAGCAGAAGGATTGCTTGCCGGATAAGGATATCTTCAACCTTCCAAAAGTGATCAGC